TCTGATATTGGGTGGGTAGGGTTATTTTTAACGAGGTGGAGCCCCCCCCGAAGGGGGGGCGGAACATACTGTCTCCACGCATACATTTTTCTACCTACATATAAGTCACTCCCCTCCACCAAATGTAGATGGAAAAATGTATGCGTGAAGACAGTGTGTTCCGCCCCCCCTTCGGAGGGGCTCCACTTCGTTAAAAATAACCCTACCCACCCTATGTCAGAGGTGTGGAGTGGATCTCGCTTCACGTGGAAAGTTGCAAACCCTTGTGGAACAGTACAACAGCGTAAGTACATGCGTGGAGACAGTATGTTCCGCCCCCCTTCGGGGGGCTCCACTTCGTTAAGATATCACCCTACCCAAACCATGTCTGAGGTGTGGAGTGGATCTCGCTTCACGTGGAAAGTCGAAAACCCATGTTGTGTCGCTACATTTCGTCGGTATGACAGATTTCCTAACTCTAAAAGTTGTCAACTTTAACAATTAATATCTCGCTTCGCAGGGCAGAGCAACGATTTCGTCTGAGGAAAAAGTTGTTCCTCGTTGAAAACCGCATCGTGTTTCGTTTGAGGGCCAGATTAAGAAGGCGCCTGTTATGCGTACGTGGACGCTCTTTATTTCGCTCACCATATACATGCGAATATCTTCTCGAATGTTTTCTGTACACAGCGGCTAACGGACACGCTGTGTTCGGCTCGGCTGTTCGTACGACTCTAGTCGACTTACAAAACGAACGCTTAGAGACGCTGCTGTCGCGTGCGTGCCGGTAACGAACCAAAAACAAAAAAAAACTAACAAAGGGGCACAGCGCGAGCCCTAGGGTGCACGATGCACAGATACAACGGCGCAAAACATAAACGGAAAGGCGCATACATACCGCCCGCATTGAAAGCTCCTGCTTTCAACAAACCATATACATATATGCTTAAACACTAATCGCAAGGGAACAAAAAAAGAATCCTACATAACTATAGTAATACTAACAGACTTACGTGATACTTAATCTATCGGAAGAACACAGAGTTTGGTAATAGGGCGCTTGTAGCTACCCTTCGCAGTACGCACTAATACCGTTCGCACGATCCCGTCGTCACCTGGAAACTCCTCCACAATACGTCCTAAAGAACAGACCAATGGAGGTAAATTGTCCTCTCGTATTACTACGAGTTGCCCCACATTAATGGGCGCTTCGTTAGTGTTCCATTTGGTGCGTTGTTGACAAGTGTGGAGGTACTCCTTAGCCCACCTCTTCCAAAAATGTTGGCGCAATTGCTCAACGCGTTGCCATCTCGTCAACCTATTAGTGTTACAATCTTCCAAGTTAGGTTCCGGATAAGACGTAATCGGGCCGCCTATTAAGAAGTGTGCCGGCGTGAGGACGGAGAGATCGTTGGGATCTGGTGATAGTGAAGTAAGCGGCCTCGAGTTAACAATGGCCTCAATTTGGCTCAATAAAGTCAAGAATTCCTCATATCGTAATGAGGCTTCACCTACGATGCGTTTGATATGGAATTTGATAGACTTCACTCCAGCTTCCCAAAGACCTTCCATATGCGGTGCCCTTGGTGGAATGAAATGCCACCTTATTCGTTCAGTGTTCGTAACATCGATGATTCACTGTCTTGACTTCTCATCCTCAAAGATCTTATACAATTCCATGAGCTGACGCTCAGCGCCTACGAAATTCAAACCATTGTCTGAATAAATGTCGCTCGGACGGCCTCGCCTCGAAATGAAGCGCTTGAGCGCATTTAAAAACGCGTCGGTAGTAAGATCGCCGACCAGCTCAATGTGCAGAGCCTTAGTCGCAAAACATACAAATACCGCTATAAAACATTTAATTAAACGCGAGTTCTTACGTTGTCCTTCCTTATAATACATTGGACCCGCATAGTCAACTCCGCATTTTTCAAACGGTTTTGTGATAGTATTAACGCGAGATTCGGGCAAATTTCCCATTAACGCAGTAGACAGCCTCGGAGCATTGCGAAAACAAACTATACATTTGGATATGACGTTGCGGACGATGCTACGACCCATGCATGGCCAAAACGTTTGGCGAATGGACGATAACGTCATTTGAGCTCCTGCATGTAACAGCCGTTTATGCGTGTGTATTACAAGTAATCTAGTAAAATTATGACGCCCGGGTATCACGATCGGATGCTTCGTGTCATACAGTAGCGGCGGAAAGTATTTTGACAAACATAATTTATAGAAAATTAATATTTATTTCTGAAACAAAGTTATAATATCTGTCCAAAAGCAACAATGCCTCTCAGTAGAAATGAAAGAAAAAAAAATAAT